TTTGTTCTGCCTCTGTTTCTCTGGGGAGCTTTTTATAGCAAAAGCTTTTGTTTTCTGGAAAGGACAGGACTTGTGTGTTTAATCACCGAAAATCTTGACAGCTCATCTGGGAAAGGAAATAAAGCCAATTTCGAACTTTCAGACACTAGGATGAAGGTGCCCAGCTTTTGCTTAAAAGCTGAGATTTCAAAAAGCTAAGGCAACTGCTTTTGAAAGAAACCTCTTCTAAAATATATGGTATTGTTTGGCCAAAAACCTTACCTGGGCCTAAGGTTTTTCCTCTGTTAAATGAAGGAGCTGCATTGTGCTCTTCAAAATGCCTTCCAGCTCTCGCTCTCTCTCTCTCTCTTTCTCTCTCTCTCTCTTTGTATCAGTGCAATAGCCAGTTGGTATGATTTATAAACTCCTGAACAAACTGAACAAGGTTTTATTGAGAATAAAAATTTCACTCAGTGCCTCTATTTCATGTTCCAGTTATGAGATTTAGGCCTACATATTCATAAATAGAGCTAACTATCAATTGAACCGTTTAACCATTCTAATTATTGATTTTACTAAATAGTTCCTTTTGATGGTACCAACAATGCTTTCTTTTCCTCCAGCATTGTGATTGTCCAGCAAAAAGTTCATGAGAGTTAAAATTTAATAATGTGTAATTTTTATATGTCTGCAAATGCTGAAAAGTTTCTGGGGATTGTGGTTTAAACATCTACTCTTAGCGATAATGTACTGTGACCTCTGGCAAACCAACTAATTTCTCTGGGCCAATTTTCTCAGTAAAAGAGGGGAGGGGTCCAATGGACTTGGGATACAGAAGGTGAACAATTCTACTTGGCTTTTCAGTGCTAACCTAGGATTCTAGCTAACCTTGCTAACTTGAAAAGAAAAAAACTGTAAACAAACTCCACTTGTGAAAAATGCTTAATTAAATGGCATTGATTTTAGATGTAACTAACTTTAAAAGACTTCAGTGAGGAAATAGTCACAAAAATCTAAAGTTAGACTTCCTAATAAATAAGTTCCATAGAGGGTCAAATTGACTGTTTTAGCTGATTGTCCAAGCCAAATAAATGTGACATCGTTGGTCATCTAAATTTGTTCTTAAAAATCTGATTGGATAGTGAATTTGGGGGGAATGATTTCTTACTGTTATTAAGTGGGGGGGGGGGAAAGTAACCATTCTAGCCCATTTCAAACACCCTTGACCACCTGTCAAAAAACGGTAGGGAAAAATATGGAAACGTTGGGCCAGCATACTTTTCTATGTAGGGTCAAATAGGAAATATTATAGGTTTTGAAGATTATATAGTCCTTGTCATATATGTAACACTACATTGTTGCACAAAAAAGTCATACAGGATACATATGAGCTTAGTTGTGTTCCAACAAAATTTTAATTCCAAAAATAGT